GGCATGTTCGGTATATCCCATGTATTTGTTGGCGTAAATACACCTGGGGATCTGCTCAAACGTGGCGAGCGCATCCTGGGTGCTATCTGGTAGGTGCGTGTACAGTGGCGGAGGTCGCGACGCGACCTTCTGCGACGAGCTGCGAGACAGCTTGGGCGGCTGACCCGCTTCCTGTTTGAGGACAATCTCGCCAATTTGTTCCTTCATTGTATCGGATACGTCGGAGTTGGGGGAGGACTCCTTTTTCGGAGGAACAGGCGATCGGGAGGAGGTACGCGAACCGTTTTTCAAGTGATTGCCGTCTACTGGAGAGTACGGCTCCATTTTGGTAGGCTCAGAGTCCGCGTGGCCATGGATAGACATGACGACACGGACTTGAAGATATGCAGAGAGGAAAAATAAAGCAGAATACGAAGTTCGGGGATTCTGCCAGGATGTGCCCTCGGGGAATCAAGGGGGTTTCCACAGAGCGGTAAAAAGGGTAACAATCTCATTGATAGAAAAAAAAATCTCCTAAACTGACTGAAACGAAGCTATTGTCATTTCGCGTCTCTCACCGCCTTGCTAGTTTCTTTTGTTTTTTGTAGTGTTCCTGAGCTTTGAGCTCTCGGTCTCATTTGAGTCACATAGACCTCGAGGTATATATATATATATATATATAACTCGGAGAGAGTAAAGGGAAAGATAGTCTTTAGTGTTTTCAATGTTTCCACATTCCATTTGAGAACTGTGACAGATCAAAAATCTCAGCATCGGTGATATAGTTGAAAGTCACCGTCACCGAAAAAAGGGGGAAAATGCAGACTGTGAAAGGTCCAAAATCGATTGGAGGAGAAAGCAAGAAAAAGCGCGTCTGCATGTGTTGTTCGTCAACGTGGAAGAGTCTGTGCGTGTAGATTAATTTACATTACAGAATTACAATAGACAGAGAATCTAGATATAATACAGTATGAAGTAGATATATTTAATGTATATAGTGTCATCCATGGATATAGTGAGAATCAATAGTGTGTACTTTATATGATCTATGCCTCAGGCTACAAAGTATACCCTTACTTCACCTCTTCACCTCTTCTCTCCATCTCTTCATCTCTTCATCTTCTTCTCTCATCTCTCATCTTTCATCTTTCATCTCTCGCATACCACGTCTCCCCCAATTACTCGTATTTTACAAACTTGAACCTCATGGCTGCACCTCGGCGGAGTCATCCTCTCCACTCGGCTCGTCTCTGCCAATCGTCCTGGCCCATTTTCATCAGAACCACCCGCTGCATGACAGACTCGCATTTTTTTCCTGTACGATCGCCCACTCTAACCGCCCCTGAGGCTAGCTCCAAACAAAATCATTTTCACTCAACAGACCCAACGTCCCGGGCCAGTTGAACCTATCAAGATCCATGCTGAGCTCCATGATTCCACTGTTTACCGGAAAAGACACGACGAAACCAAAATCATGCACTAAAATGCCCCTAAAAAACAAAACAAGAAACGCTTCCCTCAACTGTCCCTTGGTTCTGGAACTGCCAACCAACCGTTTCCCGAACTACAAAGGCTCTAAGCCCATACGATTGTATATCTCAAGTCCAAAAGACCTCCCCATCCGTTCGATATGTCCCCCACTCAACCCCTCGATTGTACTTTCGGAATCAGAAATCCAGTCTCCCCGCTTCCCGGCCTCCTTAGTGGTAATTTTGCCCTTCGAAACTCTTCTGGAAAAACACATGAAACTTATCCCGGGCTGAAACGCCTCTACTGATGTATGCTCTTGGTACTTTACATTCTTCTACCTGTACTGTAATACTCTCCAGCATCGTCCCTGCAGCTTTCCTCCCGAACGCTGGTCTCCTGCGCGATCCCGGCTGCTCAAGTCCGTTTGGCCAGAAAATCTTCCTGCAAAAAAAAAAAAAAAAATACCCCAAAAAATTAATTGGGCTTTTTGCATGGAGTTTGATTCTACTGCTCTTTTTTCATTTTCTTTGGCTAGCAAGCCTTCAATTGTCAGATCACTCGTTTTCCTCTGTCATCCCTTTTGTTTCGTCTCCGCGTGGGATATGGGGACATAAGAGACCTCTCGTTCTCTGGCGCGTGTCTTTTGATTGATTTAATCTCTTTCACTCTCACTCTCTTTCTCTTTTCACTCTTCACTCTTTGGCTTTTCCTCTCAGGCATAAATGAAGGATCAATTGATCTGAATTGTGTATCACGACTCTTGACGACTGCTGTTCGCTGTCCTTTTTCCGGGATACTCTGGGAGGCTTTCTTTGTTTTTGTTTTCTTTGTTTTTGTTTCTTTCACATTATATTTCTTTTCTTTTCGGAGGGAAAGGGAAGCCGGCTATAATCCGCTTCCATGGTCTGGATATGTCCAATCCATCTGATAGGCCATGGACTGAGGAGGACAAGGTATGGAGATTCTTTGGCCGGATGTGAATATGATGCTGATCAACAACCAGTACACTCTACTCACTGAGATCCTCAAGAAAGCTGGATTTCCTTCTAGCTATCTGGTACGAATGATCAAAGAATATGGGATCACTCCAAGCTGGGAGCATATTCCCCTTCCTCAAGGTATTATCATCCAATTGCCGGTCAAAAAAAAAAAGAAAGAGAAAAAAAAAAAACTGCTTTGCAGATCGATATCAACATGGCGCTAACACCTGCCCCGGTCAAGGCCGTTCACTCAGCTCGTGCAAAACGGCCTTTCACAATATGGTTCAGCAGCCTGCGCACCCTCCAACACATCCAGTGGCTCCGTTTCAACCGCGATCCGATATGACCGGCCCGCCAGCCCCAATGGATCCCAGCCATATGCGCAAAAGACCATTGTTTCCTTCCGACAAGCCAATCCCTCGTGCAATCCAGCCAAGACCACCAGCCAGCACCGCCTCCTACAGCAGCGAAAGCGGCGCATCGGCCCAGCTCTCCCCGAGACTAGATATCGGTACCGGTGAACCACCCCGTAAGCGCGGACGCCCGAGCAAAGCAGAGACCGAACGACGCAAGCTCCTAGCCGAGGCCCGCGGTGAAACGTATCCTGCCCCTCGACGGTCAGGATCTGGTAGACTCAAAGTCCCTCCTTCGCCGACCAGCCCCGCGGTAGGCCCGTCGTCTACATCGTTCCCGCCGGCACCTCAAGCATTCCACGGACCCAAGCCAAGCCCAAGCACAATGCTCTACGACACTTCAGCCATGCGCTCGGCAGTTCCGCCACTTGGCCCAAGTCATGCGCCAAATGACGAGCGCCGCGATATGCCACCCCGAAACATGAGCACCAACATGCGTGAGCTACCCCGGCCAACAGAAATGGGCCATCCCCTCCCTTCACCACACGCCTTGCAATTAGGGCCCCCAGACACGTTACCTAGACTCGGCAATCCAGCCGAGCGGCCATACCCTTTCGCAGCAGACCGTTTCTCTCCGCCAGACAGTGGTCGGCGTGACTCGGTCACTAGTCGATCTGACCAGCCTCCAGGACCATACTCGGAAGCACGATTGAACACCCCGGCCGAGAAACCTCCACGATGACCATTGTTGATATTTTCCCTTCTTATATCGTCATTTTCATTTTCATTTTGATCCCAATCTCGATTATACTTTTCGACTTCGATTTCAGCCTTTGTTTTTTGAGGCCCAAGCGCCATGAATGAATGATCAAGCCATTGATGAACAATAGACAGCGTTTTCGTGTTGTTTTTATTGTGCGCGGTTTTTCTCCAAGCTCTTCAAGCGACCCATTTCACACCCCCGACTTTTCCTCAACAATACACCCCATGCATACCTAACCCTCTCATTTGATGCCCGTGGGTCTGTCCAGGTACTATATACCTAAGGTCAGATAGACCACGGGACGGGGAATGCTTTTCTTTCTCTTCTCTCTTTGTGACAGTGACCTTCATACATTGATGCGTACACGAGTTCTCCACGTTCGATGAAATGAAGATAACGGCTTTCATATTCTTGATATTCGATTTTTCAATTGGATCTTCACGCCCCAATCCAAGCAAGCGAGTCTTTCCACTGCTTCTACTCCTGCTTCCCACTCGTCTTCTAGACACACAATATTAATATTGTGAACGTACCGCAACCCCCACGACCCCAAGACAAGACAAGACGTCCACGCCAATTGATGCCCCCACGCCTCGCATCTTTCTTTTCTTTTTCTTCTTATACTTTCTTTCTGCTATTTATTTCTTCCAGCCTAGCCTAATGCCTAGCTTGCTATGCATTTGATGATGATGATGATGATACATTATGTCTATTGCTACATGGCGATGGCGGTCCTTGGAGCCTTTCATTTTGTAAGGCCTATTTACCTTGTATTTTAGCTTATTCTATTATTTTTTTTTTTTTTGGATACTTGATGACTTTCTGGTTCCTGTTGTGAATTTTGGATCTTGGCTTTGTTTATTCTCTTCTATCTTGGCTCTCCTTATAGGATGATGTCCCACATTCATTGCCCTAGTTAATAATGAATTGAGATTATTGATCTCACACATATCTTTTCGGTCATTACTTTTCTTGTGATTGTGTAATTCAGCCCTGGACTAGGATAAGAATACGCCTACAAATAGATCCCGACATACTACCTGTCCTTGTTAGACTCTGATGATCACAACTGGGAAGCTCAAGCGGTTTTCGAATTCTAACTCCCAGGCCCATGACACCGACTAGGCTTGCTGTCGAATCAAGGTATGTTGAACATCTCCGTAATTGTTCGACTGAACAGGTCCTGAATCACAGTTTCCATTGATTGAGCTTAGCCACAGGCCGTACTTCGAGATAGCGACTGCTCCTCACATATGTTCGAAGGAGCAGATGTCGAAGCACTCTCTTCAAGGTTGTCATATTCATAATAAACAGGCCAATGCACTTATGGGACAAACAAACAGTACAAAAAGAAACTAGCTGTTTCCTTCGATACCTTGGATGAGATGATATCCCTACTCAAAGAACAAGAAATAAACCCCACGCAATTCTATTCACACACCTTCCACCAGCCTATCACTCCGCATTACCAGATTTCCCACGAACTCGAGCAAGAATCCGCTGGAGCTGTGCCTTGGAATCACCGCTCCTCTCCGTAGACGACACACCAGTCGCCTCTAGGGAGGACGGTTCAGGCTCGGGTATAGATTGGGACGAAACCGAGAGACGCTTGGGAGGATGAGGGTGAGGGTTGTGGCTTTGCGAATAATCTTTATCTTTACTTGCGTGACCACCATCACCATCACTACCGTGTTCCCCAAGTCCCTCAGCCTGCCTTTTCTGCAGCATCTGCGAGCGCATCGCGCTAACCACAGACCCGAAGCCTGATGGTGCTCTTGATATAGAAGCAAGAGTGACCTGATCCCCAATCTGAAGATTCAGCTCCTTCTCTTTGGCCAATTTCATCACCTCGGCGCTGTTTTTCTCAATCAAGCGGGTCAGGTACACCTTGGGACCGGTATCGCGGTTATTCAGGCTGTACTTTATGCGCTCTAATTCTTTTCTGTACGCCGTTTCATAGATATTGAAATCCGCAGCGCCGGGCGATTCACTGACAAACTGTACCGGCTCATCGTCCTCCATCTGGTCAGACTGATCCATTGAATGTTCGGGCTCTTGGAAAATAGACGCGGGCTCGTCACTAATTTTCATATCAGGTTCCTGGTGCGAGGAGCCGTTATATGTAGATGGTCCAATGAAGAGGTAGGGAAACTCCTCTTCCAGCGGATCACGAGCATGCCCCCTGGTCCCCTCCAGGCTGCGCTTAGTACCCGAACTTGCTCGTGAGAGGGGGATATGGGGCGATGCCCACTGAGAGTGAGATTGAGCTTCGTTGCCAATATCCGGCTGAGCCGGGAACTCCCCGTTGCGGATGGAGCCGGAGTCTTTTCGCTCGGGCTCGAACACACCACTGGGCCGTTTGCTGCTGCTCGGGCTGTACTCGGGCCGGGATGAAAAACTGGCTGAATCGCTAGACCCGAAACCTCCAGAATTGTCTCGGAATCCGGCAAAAGGACGCCGGCCCATGACCTTGCGCGTGTCTGCACCCATGCCGTGGGCGTCATGTGTTTGTGGAGCCGCTCCTACTGCCGGGAAGGGTTCGTCTGGGTCCATTTCCATTGGTGGCTCGACGAAGTAGGCATCGTTGTCTCCGCCAAGAATGCTCTTGCCGAACATACTTTGTATGGGGGATTGTGGTTTGGTGGGATCTGTTAGTCGCTTGAATTTCTTGACGGCTTTCATCTGCAGGCTTTGTTAATGGATACTCTATCAGAACGAGGAATAGTAACATACCACGGTCATGAGGTGTCCCATGTTTGTTGTAATGGCTGAGTTCATCTCCTCCTCTGTCGGAAGTTCAATGAGCTGCGAGGTATTTTCCTCAAATGACAGCAAAGGATCGGTTCCATTCTTCGTTACCCAAGGGTGTTCCTATTGTATATGTTCAGCATTGGCGATCGGTGTAATTGCGAGCGACTCACTCGTAAACCAAACATGTCGATCCGCTTTTCTGGATCTTTCTCGAGAATCCTTCCTATCAGATCTTTGAAGGATTCATCTGACTCGTCTTCGTAGACCAGGGGATCTCCCCTGATACTATCATACAGCTCGAAAATGCTCTGCTTCTCAAAAGGCAGCTTTCCATATCGTAGACAATATAGAGTTACCCCCATGGACCAGATGTCTGTCGCCTTTCCGGATACGTCGCCATGTTTGACCACGCACAGCTCTGGGGGGAGAAATGCTGGCGACCCAGCTGACTTGGCAGTGAACATGTCTGAATCTTTTTCAAACATCTCCGATACACCAAAGTCGACCACTTTAAGTATGTCGTCGTTGGTCACCAGACAGTTGTCGGGTTTTATGTCTCGATGAACAATACCCTGCGAATGCAGGTACTCGATTCCCAATATCAGATCACGGAACCAACATCGACATTGCTCGTCATCATACGGATCTGCTCTCTCTTCCAGTCCGACCTTCATGACAACACCTTTCTTGCACATTTCCATCACCATGTACAACGAGTCCTCTGACGGATCGTCCAAGACCTCGATCAACGACACCAGATTGTTATGGTTCAGTTTCTTCATGATTGCAATTTCCTCTTTGATCAAATATAGAGGGTTCTTTGCGGTCTCACTATCGTCGCCAGAAGGATGCCGATGTAATGGCGAGTTGAAATCCTTTCCTGGTCGAATCGGGCCTCGCGGTCTTCGCAACAGATGCGACTGCGCACGTTTCCTCAGTCTAGACTTAGAGAATTCCTTGACAGCCTGCAATTACAAATTGATTGTCTGACGGTTAGCATGTCCATTTCCCCATGCTGATTAAGCTCATGTCCCACAGGTTTGTGCTCATACATATTCATTTCCAAACTGATCTGCAGCCAAATGGACAGCCCCAAACGAACCACGTCCTATCTCCTGCTTGATCACATACTGGTTGATTCGATGTTCTGCAGTACCGTCATCTTGACTCGTATAATACGAGGAGCGGGCGTCCAGTGTTTCCTAGTCCGTGGTATCAGTTCTCCGAAGCTGTCATAACGGCATTAGGAGCACCGACCTTCACCGGACGCCTTGCTCTAGGGTTTCGTCGTCGGTGCCTCTGAGAGCTGTCATAAGACGCAGTAGATCTGGTTGCAAAAAGTGCGTTAGCATGGTACATCGGCAAAGATCAACCTCCCGCCGGTGTTTCACGGTCAAACTTACCCAACTCTGCTCGCCTGAGGCCGCACATCGTTCATACCCTCCAGTGATGTGATAGAGGGCTCTGCGGAGATATCCGACATAGAGGCTGCCACATTCTCATTCATTGAAATACACTTGAACACCAAGTGCTGGTGTTGTGTGGGGTAAATAAGGAAGTTCGAAGCGGGGGGGTTGATAAGGTGAGAGGCGGGCTGTCAGCCTTACGAGGCCCTCTTTTGCAAGGATCAGAAGTAAAATAAATAATACTAAGCCTTATGGTATCATGAAAGAGATACCCAGTCGAATCGGAAATCCCGAAGAAATTCTAGGCAGCTCCTTTTTGATATGGTCTTTTGTTATCGATACGGGAGCTGATTTCACCGCCTCTAAGCCTCGGGACTCCCCTGAACATCAACAACTACTTGTTCCGTAACACTATACACAATGGTCGTCTACTCATTCTACATCTTTGATCGGCACGGTAAATACCATGTTCTAGAATTGAACCATCTTCATATACTGACTGTCATCTAGCGGAATGCATCTACAAGCGCCGCTGGCTTCCGCGCCCGACCTCCATCGTGGGGAAATCTAGGTCTGACACGGTCTCCGGCTCAGCACCGACCGGTCTCGGCCAGACAGTACGATCGACAGACGATGATTCGAAGCTAGTTTTCGGTACAGTCTTCTCACTGCGGAATATGGTGCGCAAGCTAGGGGGTGAAGATGACAAGTAAGACTGCCCCTGAAGCACACTAGTTGGGACGTGCTTGCTGGCTTTTGAATGTACTTGATACTAACTGAATTAGCTTTGTATCATTCACCACCAGCCAGTATAAGCTTCATTACTACGAGACACCGACGAATATCAAGTTCGTCATGCTGACGGACCTCAAGAGTCCCAGCATGCGTATCGCGCTGCAACAAATCTATATCAATCTGTTTGTGGAATATGGTTCGTGTGATTCATTGATCTCGTTTGGCAGCTTCGGGTGATGCTAACTTGGATCGATCTGTTTAGTGGTCAAGAATCCCCTTTCTCCGACCGAGCATCCCGGCGGTGTCGGCGTGAATAACGAGCTATTCGAAGAATCATTAGAGCAGTTTGTGGTGGGTGCATTTTAGTTTTAACAAGTTACCTTGATACTTGACTTGTGTGTTCTGATCTGGTAGCAGACTCGAGTTCTGTCATGATATCAAACTGAGCATCCTTCCCGGAATCTGGAGATCAGTTCGTGCGAGCACGTGAAGGCAATTCCATGCGGAGGCAGCAAGTCCATGCGAAGGAAGCAAGTCCATGCGAAGAAAGAAGCAATTCTACGCCAAGGAAGGGAAATGCGACAGTATTCGACCGCTGGGACCTATCGATGTTAGCATACACAAATCGGGTGTATCAAAGGCGTGAGAACGGCATGGCTGCATGGCTGCATGGCTGCATGGCTGCAATCGAGCGCACACCGCAACAGACTCGCCCGTTGTCACGCACACTATTCTGGCATCTGCATATAACAGTATTTGGTGAGAAACGAGATTACCGTGACCCAGCACCGAGGCCAAGCACGACAGGGGTATCCAAACCGGCTTTTCATGTATGGCTGCCATTCAATGAGACCGATTGCCTTCGCACGTGGCATTTCCAGCGCCACTACTACGCTGTGCGCCGGGAAAATGACGGGGCAGAGTGTCCCGGGGGCCGGCCCGCAAATAGCTCGGCTTTTGCATATCAAGCGCTATCAATCAGGAACGCTGAACATAGCTATTTGTTACTGGTGCTCGGAAAGAGTCGGAAGAATTTGATACTGCTGGATAACGCAATATTTATGCGAATTGTCTCACTATAGGCGCAATATTAAGTTTCCAGCCTTGAATGCCTGTTCATAGTAAAGCTGGGGTATAAATCGTATAAACCATAGAAATACCGCAGCCACCAACAACGCCATAAATGTACCCAGACTAAAGCAGGTTCTAGAGCCCCAACCATACTCTTAATCTCGCAGCTATAGCCAAGAAGCCGCCAAGAATCAGCTTTCCCAAGCGGCCCAGCGTGGCTCGTGCGTCAGCTTCCACCGGGAGGCAGTGACCTGACAGGCCGATAGGTGTAGACACGAGGATCAACCGATACAGATAGATCATACAACAATAATTGGATCTTACAATTGCCTCTTCTACCTAATGCACAAAGAAAAAGCAAAGCTCGATGCATATTGCAACGCTGAAAAAAAAAAAAACAGATGTCCACAGCTCTCAGTTTCAGGTGAGATCGTCCCCATCCTGCATGACTTGGCTAAAGCACAGACGTCCACACATACAGGTTTAGCACAACGTCCACAGATACGGGATAACAGAAGCCAAAGACAAGCTCCGCCCCCTCCTATTCACAGCTCTCTTGCTCCGCACCTGAAATGTAGTAGTTTACTAGTGGATACGATCGGCACATGCCCAGAAAACATAACAGAATGCCACAGCTTATCTCAAGCTTGGACTATCTCGCAACGCCAGACAAGTGTCGCAATGCAAAGCCAACCAATCCTATATATTTACTGCTGTGGTGTCTGCAAGCACAAACTGGCGGTCAAGCATGCGTCGGCTTGGATTGGAATCTGGGTTGCAGCCGGTATCGATGGCTTGATGGTTGTTTTTACACTTATACAATATACTAAATAGAGGATACCCTTGAACTGACTCGAACCCCTACCCCATAAGACATGTCACCAAGGATGCCACGATTTAGTCAGTCTTCTTCTCTTGGGGTTTAATTGCCTCTAAAGGTTCGTATAGGCATGCAAAATAGCAATCCAAACCCAATCCACGTATCTGAATACTTTGATGGAGGGTTGGACGTTGTGTGCTATAGGAGGTCTCTCCGATATACTGCTATCATGAAATTGCGTAATGGTGAGTCAGGAGATTGGGTAAGAAATACTGCAGTCATCAACAATGAATTATACGGCTTCTGGATTGGTGTAGAGAAAGGCCTCACGGCGGAGGCCTGGCCTGGCTGGCCCTAATTATTTCTGTCTTTTTGTGGGATAAGTTAAAAAAAGAAGGAAGGAAATCGAGGCCCAATAGTGTATTATGAAGATCAATTGGGAGAGGATAGTGTATAACAGAGGTTGTGTATGTTGCTGACTCTTCAAAGCGACTGGGCTATAGAGCTGTGAAAATAGTGTGTACACCAATATGGTTATGGGGGCGAATTAGTGTGAACAAGAACGCGTTTTAATCCGAAAGAACGATTTCGAGGAAGCTAAATATGTATATATATTCAAGCCCCAATGAACTTGAATTTATGATTTGTTAGGTACATTCTGTTGGTCTTTCTCGATATAGGAACAGGCTCTAGCCCGGAGAGAGACTTTGAACCCTAAAAATGAGATCAACAGAGAACCCTGCGACTACAACATAAGTGAATGGCAAAATAAGCAGAATTAGGTATACACATTAAAATGCTATATAATCAAATAGTCGGTTGTACGGAGTACAACATACGTGTGGTAAGGAATGTGGGACTGGAATTTGGGAAGAGGGGTAGTGTGTTAGATATTAGAGTGCATATCAAATCGATATAAAAGACGTACATTTGTTGTACATGGGTGCATAGTGCCTTTGTGCGAAATTAAGATGGGTTCTTATTAGGGTTGTGATTGGCGAGTGAAAATCCCTCGTAGTCCCTAGTCCTGGTTACGGAAGCTTGTGTGAGAAAGTGGACAAGGTGTTTTGAGCATTACAGGTATTGTATTTTAGCTTCGACAGATATCTCCATTATTCTCACTGTGTCCCGTTACCGAGGTCAAGACTCACGGGCTGATTCGGAAACCAACAGTAATCCGGGGTAAAAACGAACATTGAATAACATTATTGAGTATACCGCTAGCTACTACTTTGTACTAGCTCGGAAAACAGACGGGTTCAACGCGAAGCTCATGCTTGGGAACTCCCACCAAGAATTTCCCCCACACGGAAGCACGAGGGAAATTGCATCCGAAGAGACGGTGAACATTCCGCCTTCTACAGGCTCGTAGTAAGAAGGCTGACAGTTTCTCGTACAAAGGGAAGAGACCCCAAGAGGAAGAGCGATATATTCTATCCAATACTTTGCAATTCAACAAGTTCACATTAGTCAACCGGTGCACCTCCACACCTTGTCCGTCCCCCAATGCCGTCATCTATCCGAATGACGCTAGATAGCGGAAAGCTACTATTGGTTCTTCATTGTATTCCCCTATATCGTACTAGGGCATTATGTACGTTGTACATCGCTGCAGGAGAACTTCACAGAGACTCCACGCGGTTTTCATGATCCCGATAGAGAGATGTGCATGATGTGATCGACTCTTACGTCGAGGTCATCGCCTGGCAATCATTAGGAATTAGTGTTCCGAAATGAGGGGGATGTTTTGAGATCGAGTCTGATACGACTGGCTGAACGTTGCAAGAGTCGCGAGTGAGCACGGGTATAAACGGACGTATCTGACCATTGGTTGCAAAGGAATTTAGGATTTCCCAACGAGGACAGTGTCCCTGGAGTGAGTTTAGCATGCCCATGACATATATACAATGTATAAAAAATACAGAGTACGATCAAGATGGTCTGATCTTAGTATACAACATACTTGTACAATCAATCCCCACTTACCGTACAGAGTAACCAAGCACAAATGTTCCGGCTAATAGATCAACAGAATCCAATCACATCGGATGAACGGATTATAGCTTACTCCGTACCCCTCATAGCCTCGGGATGACTGACTCCCGCCACACTGTCCAGTCGGGGGCCTAATCACGACTGGACGGTGCAGATTGCACAGCCTCAATCCTTTGTGGTGGCGGAACTATCAAAGCTACTTTCTGTGTTCTATCTGATATATATCCTACTCCGTAGAGTAGGATATACTAACCCACAGATGGACAACGTCATGAGGGTAAATTATGAAAGGGGTTTACCTCTCAAATACCTGTCTTAATCGGAGAAACACCCAATTCCAGGGTTCCCGATGAAAAATCCTGTACCGAGTGCTTCTACGATCATTTTTTTTTTCCATTTAAATCTCTCATATATCTCGGAACGAACCTCGGGATTTCATTCCACAAAAACGCCCAAGAATGTGTGCTCAAATATAGGCAC